CCATATCGTCGGCATAGCTTATGAATTGCCATCACTATTTTGACAAAACCATGCATACAACACCGGAAGAAGCCGCTCAAGTTGTTGCTCTTTTGCAACAGGGACTTAGTCAGCGATCTGTCGCTGCTCCACTGCACCTAAGCCAATCTGCTGTATCAAGGGTATACAGAAGATTTCTAGAGACTGGTGTATTCGACCGTAGGCCGAGAACCAGCCGTCACAGGTGCACAACTCAAATCGACGATCGGTTCATAGTCTCTACAGCTCTACGAAATCGCCACCTGACTGGTGTCGACGTACAGCAAGAGCTAAGACGTGTTCGAGGAATGGCTGTAAGCGAGTGGACAGTTCGAAGACGCCTGAGGGAAGCCAACCTTACACCAAAACGTCCTGCAACTGGTCCGAAATTGACGCCAAGCCATCGACAAGCGCGCCTGCAATTTGCTAGAGAGCACCTCAATTGGAACCACGTGCAATGGCGGGCTGTCTTGTTTACTGACGAGTGCAGAATGTGTCTGCATGGCAGTGATAGGAGAGGTCGGGTGTATAGGCGCCCAGGTGAACGATTTTCGCAGTGCTGTTTCGCTGAAACTGTTGCATATGGCGGCGGCTCTTGTATGATGTGGGCTGGAATTTCTTTAGACGGGAAAACCGAACTCGTTTTCGTGCCTGGGGGAGGCCGAGGAGGAGGATTGACAGCCGATCGGTACCGATATTCTCCTAGAACATGTTGTTCCGTACGCGGGGTTTGTCGGCGATAACTTCTTATTGATGCACGATAATGCCCGGTGTCACACTTCGCGTATAACTAAGCGGTTTCTGGAAGAAGTCCGTATACAGACCATGGACTGGCCAGCGCTTAGTCCAGAATCCCATCGAACATTTATGGGACGAGCTCAAACGAAGGGTCCGAGCCAGAAATCCGCCACCTTCAAATATCAATGAGCTCAAGACGGCGTTGTTAGAGGAATGGGACGGAATTCCTCAAGAAGTTATTAAAAAGTTGATCAGGTCAATGAAAAATCGACTACAAGCTATTACTAGGGCTAGAGGGGGTAACACCAAATATTAATTAAATAAATTTATTTATTTATTATTTTATTTTTTTGTTTTAATTTAAATAACAATCTCCATAAATTATTTTTCTAAATTCCTATTTTCCCTAATTGTTAACTCTATTACCATTATTTCAACCACGCAATCGATTTTTATGCTAATGAGATCATCTTAAAGCTAAAGTTTCAGGCTATCAGAAAATATGACATTTTTATTAATGAACTGGGTAGTTTTTCATAAAAACTACTTTATATGCAGGTGTAGGGTCTGTGTCGGTTTGGTTGTTCGCGAGTGTAGAATATTCGCTTCTAGCTGCGCCGGTTGCTTTGTATTCAACACAAAACACACGTTTAACGAGTAACCACTTACCAATAGATAGGCACCTACTATTCGTTCTAAATTCTTTCAATAACCTAGTCAGATCTTAGCTTGAATGAATGTATGGAAGTGTAGTATGGTCGCCTTTCTGCGAGATTCATTCGAATATGATTGATCGGGTTCAAAAGCATTTATTAATACCACGATCGAACACTTCCTTCGATCCGACCGGATCCGAACCGACGTCTTCTAGCATACCGTGCCAGACTCTATACCAACGCAACGGAAAGAACCAGCGGGCCTCACTTCTATGTGCTTGTTGTCGTGTCTTTGTATTTGGTTTTTCAACGACTTTTAGTCGTAGTGCCATCTATGAGAAATCTATGAAAGTTTTATCACCCAGTTAGATACCTTTACAGCTACCAGCCCTGGCGAAAGATGTCGTGTATTTTAATTTTTTTTTAGTTGATATTCAATTATTTTTTTGTGAAATTACTCCACTAGTCTGTTATGATTATTAATACAAAGATCGAACACTCAGAAAAAATTCCTTCGATCCGGCCGGATTCGAACCGACGTCTTCTAGCATACCGTGCCAGACGCTATACCAACTAAGCAACGGAACGAGACACGTACGATGTAATGTTTTGTTATTAAACATTCTACATACAATTTGGCTAATCGGGTATAGTCAATTTGACCCCCTGAATAGCCAGATTTGAAAAGAGTACTAAGGATTGCCACTGCAACGTAAAGGTTCGGTAAAATAATGCAACGCATTTCGAGCATATTATAAATTATATTTGTTTTATGTATAAGTGAATTCAAGTAAATATAAAATATTACAACGTTTGTGACAATTTTCGGCGTAACGCGGGAATATTTGATACAATTTGGTGTTCACAACAAAGCAAATCACTGACAGCAATGTGTATTTCAAAACCAGTGCAATAAAGTTGAAAGTTAGGCGGCAATTAGAACTATCTAAGATATTGAATCTAAGCTAGTGTTTGCTTTCAATTAGATATAATTTCATTAAAAAAAACGCCTCTAACCATTGCACAATTATTTTTATATTCAAACATATTGCTTCGCCAACAATATCTTCGATGATCCCTAAATTAACACGTCACACAGTATTTATTATGTACTAAAACATTCTGATATTTATTATCACAAATCCATTGAATTATACAAAAACTACAAATGGCAAGAGTATTAGCTAACATTTAATTTTAAATACATTGAGCAAAAGGTAAAAATGCACTACACTAACATATTGTCTTCTACAATAGTTACCAAATTGATTGCTTTTGAATCTTAGAATAAACAATATATTAATATAAAATTAACATTGAAATAAAAAAAATTAAAACTGGAACCGTAATAAAATATATAAACAATGTGTAAAAAATTAAAAATACAGTAAAAAAAAAACTTATAATTTAAATGTTTCAAAATAAACGTAATGTGAATTTCAGACGGAGACTGGCAAAACGCTTTAGATATTCGTGAAATAACAACTTAAATACATGAATGAATGACTGAATGTTGTATGTTCGCTTGACTGAGCGCTCTTTTTTTGTTATTTGTTGCTGGACACAAATTGTATTTGTAATTATTAATACATAGATCGAAAAATACTAAGAAAACTTCCTTCGATCCGGCTAGATTCTAAGCAGGGCCTTCAACATACCCTACATGACGTTCTGCCAGCTGAGCTACGGAACGAACCAGCAGATCTTTGTTTATAATATTAACGACTCTTTTCACCGAAGCGCCATCTGTGAGTTATCTACGAACTTTTCTTGCCTTTTTTATTTATCAAGTATTTTTTGTTACTTCACAAACTCCAGCTGAAATATTACCGAAAAATTCAATTTCAGTCAATAACTCGATTATTTTTTTTAAAGCTTTAAATAAGCGGCCAAATTAATCATTTTGGTAACAATCTCTGTCAAGTTTAAAAAAAACTTTGAAACTCTCAAGGCTAAGCCTCAAAATATTATTAATATCACAAATAGTCTTTTGCTCATTTCGCAGTCTTAACAAACTTGAGCGTCTTTATACGCTTGATAAAGTGCCAGTTGACGCTAAATCAATAATTACATACGAAACGGTATCGAAAGTCCTTCACGGGATTCAGTAAGATAACTACTTATAAATTGTTATTCAAACAATTGGATCACGTAGGTTCAATTAATTAATTATTAATAATCACGATTAGGAATATTTAATGATAGCAGTTTTATTTTATATTTATAACTAAATAATAGTTTTTTTTAATGTTTTGAGTAACATAAGGACGGTTCTATTCAAATTCATAAGCTGAGTCAGTGTGCCAAATTGAATATGAACAAACTTAAAAAAAAAATCACAATTAAACTTAACTAAGTTCATACACATACTATTGTAATCCGTGAATTTTAGAATAGTTTACTATTTTTTTAATGACCATAAGTCTAAGCACTAAAATAAGGTATAAACAGGCTTACAGAGCTCCAACACGAATTATATTCTCGATAAAAATCTGTAATTATTACAATAAATAAGTATACAATTTTGTACATCTGTCAATTTTGCACAATCTATATAATTTCCGACCTCATTAATTAGTTTAATTTCATACAATACATACAATGTAAAATATATAACACGACAGTGCGTTTGAGAATTTTTTACTATAAATCGTCGTTTGTCATGTCATGACTTCAAAATAAATAGTTATATGATACAAACAGCAGAATACAACTTTGCTTAAACATAACTAGGATTAATAAAGTTGGCTTCCCACCGTGCCGATACGGACTCGCACGCGAAGGCCCTTCGGTTCCGTCGCCCACAACAAAGATCCGCATCTTTTTCCGGCAGCCCGGAATGGCGCGTGCGTTTGGCGATCATTTCTTTTTTGAAAGCGTTAATTTGAATGATTGGTATGAATCAGTAAAGCAAGTAACGTGTTAAATTCAATAAAATCCTAATATCCTATCTCTTGCCTGCTCTAGTTCAATGATAACATCCACCAGCGTCTATTCATCTGCTTCTTTTTGTTAAATAAGTTGTATTCAGTGTATACTAAAGCCGCAGAAATACTGTAACGCGGTTAAGTAAAATAGAATATACATATCGTAAGAAGTTGAAAGTGATTTTTTTAAGTAAAAAATAAGTGATTAACTTCAAAAAAAAGACCGACCTCAAAAGTTCGTGGAGTTACATCTATTTGCCAAGTTTTATTGAAATTGGTTACCGGAAAGTGCGCGAAACTGGATTCATCAGGAGATGAATCCTCTTTTTTTCAAATTTAAATGGCACCAATTAGCTATCAACATTTAGGTAGCAACAAAAAATAATCATCAAAATAGGTACACAAATCGTGCCGGAGTAATCGCGTAACACACACACAAAGAAAAAAGGAATTGAGAACCTCCTCCTTTTTTGAAGTCGGTTAAAATATAGGATAAATTTCATTTATATATTTTTTGTGAAAGTAGTCCACGATTCAATGCAAAGATTGAACAAACTCAAAGAAAAATTCCTTCGATCCGGCTGGACTCGAACCAGACATTTTCGCCAATCGCGGGCTATCGCTCTCCCAACTGAGCTACGGAACGAGTCAGCAGACCTTAAGAATTTCTCTATTCGCTTGCTGCAGATCTTTTGTTTTCAGTTGTAATGGATAAATTATCGAAAAAAAATTTACAATTAAAAATAGGTACCCAGTATTATCAACCACAGTTCCATTTCTCCCGAAATATTAATATGTACCGATCCAAAATCCAGTCGCAATCTAATTCACTGATATTACATACCATTTCGCATATTAAAGCAAGTTTACATATTTCTAACTACCGATATACACTACAGACTTAATTGTATATAATACAAATATTACCTACACTGACATAACAACAGACGCATGTAACAATGGAAACTAACAAAAAAGTTGGGTAACTGTCATCTGTAGAGAGGTAAGCACGCGATGAAAATTGCGAGCAAACAGAAAAGCCACCGTTATTTTATTTTAGAATAGTTTCCGTTACGTCCATTTTTCTTACCCGAAACTTTAAAGCTACTTTGAGGCGTTACAGAACTACTACTAGAGTCCGAAACCGAATTCACCGATTGTCTTGATTTTGCATCTGAATACCATCCGCACAAACGTTTGACAGCGTCCTCCCAACGTGATATGATCAATTCATAAGTCTTCTTTACTTGAGGTCGGGGATGGAATGTTTGGCCTATCTTGCGAAGGGACTTTAATTCTTCTTTTGATTTCCATATACCTGAATGACAAAGCAAAATAAAATATTACGGCACTGTTTCACTATAATAGTATTACATTGTGTACGGAAAATAAGAAATTACTAAAGAGGGTCTATAGAAGCCCGAAGTCAAACGCTGGGCTTTAACATTTCGAGTTTTGTATTTTTTTACCGTCCGTGATATATACAATATTTTCCATCACATTTGCGAAGAAACCTCATCTCAAGAACCCTCGTCACCCTGAGACATAAGTTGACAAGTCCTATGTGCCTGTAATTTCACCAGCACCCTTACCCTTCAAAACCGGAACGTAGTAATGCACACATTACTGCTTGGCGGCAGAAATAGGTAAGGTGGCAAGACTTCCCTGGACGTACTCTACTAGTTCTTCACAAGGAGCTCTACTAGTCAAAAGATAATTATACATGATCGTTGTAATACAAACAGTAATCAATATAAAACTAAAAACTAGTATGACTAAAAAATTAAATACAAATAAACATAAAATATTGTCGAAATACAACGACATCAAATAAAAATAAAATAACAATTTCTTCGAAACAAATTCCTGAGAACTGTATTTTAGAAAGTTGCAGAATTTCTTTAAAATTGTAATTTTATTTATTTATTGGACATTTTTAATTATATAACTATTATTGTTTATATTAATGACACACCCCGGATACTCCATACAACTGTCGAAAGTCATTTACCTACTACTACTACATAGAGCAAGATGCTATCTGCACACACGCAAATGTGTGCGTGAAGTGGTAGGGACCCATGACTTTCTCGTACTATACGTTACATGGTCAGAGCGGCAACATAGCGAAAATTGTAACGCAAATCTGTTATCTATAAAAGAACATTTATTTAAAAAATATATTAAAAGCACTAAAACGTTATGTTTTAGACAGGTACCTTTAAATAAGGTAACCAAAGTAATTGAAATTGCGTGTCCAATTTTATCATTACCTAGTTAATAATTAGGTATGTATATTCACTACTAATCATCATCATCATCATGAACCCTTTTGACGTCCCACTGTTGGGTACGGGTCTCCTTTCAGACGAGGGTTTAGGTCATAGTCCGCCACACTGGCCCAATGCGGGTTGGATACGTTGGGTTCACTACTAATACTTATCGGCAATACAAATTGAAAATTCGAGAACCCTTGTCACCTACCTCACGAAGTTATGGTGTCGTATTACATTGATATAATAAATCTATATTATATATTACTCTGCACTAAATAAATGAAGAAAACAATAACTGAATGAGTCTCAGGCGTAAGTTTTTTTCTTACTTACTTCGTTTCATCTTTCGGAAATCGAAAGAAACTCCTCTCTTTATCCCGTTTAGATGATGATAAACACTCGTACACAGCACAATTCACGATCATATAAATAGTATCGTAAAATGATGTTATATATTAAAGTACAAGTTTCGTAATGAATAAACGAAAACTATATTCAAATATCAAAGCCGTCTTAGCACGAAAACGGCTCGCCTACAGCCTTGCTGTCGTTCAGTCATTGTGACCGTCAATGTGCGGGGCGTAATGCGGTATCTAAGGCTAGGTGGGGCGGAGAGTGTCCGTTCTCATTACTTTTTGTTCTCTGTTAATAACGACCGTATTATCCCTTAAAATTGGGTTTTAAAGACTAATATAATAAATGTGAATCATTTATTATATTATTTAAAAGTTATATAAAAAAGAAAATCTTACCCAATTGCAATCCTACGATGAAAGCACAGCCCAGTGAAGACATTTCGACATCAACAGGTCGCTCTACTCGTAAACCAGTAAGATCCGCTACTAATTGCACAATAAAGTCGTTATTTGACACGCCGCCGTCCAACCTGTTACAAATAAAAAAAAAACAGTATTATTACTTTACAGTAAACAGTACTATTATTATTAGATACTTGATTTTTTTAATGTGCCAGACAACCACACCTATTGCCAAACTAGGGAAATCTGTGAATAATGAGTATCAGAGCAACATAAGTACCAGAGTAATGGAATTCGCTCTAGGACACTTTATAGAACACCCAGACCAGAAGAAATTTTTAGAAAAGTTCATTTCCCAAATTGGTTTTACTGGAAATCGAACTCGAGACCTCCTCATTCAGCGCCCAGAGTGTAAAGCCCAAAGGTGGGCCAACCCACCGAGGTCGTCTCATATTTCTTTCAAATTCAGTATGTAAATGTATAGAGTGAAGTTCAAAACACAACTTTGTATATGTGTATATAGAACCTTATTGATAATATTAATTATTCCCCTCTTATAACTGTGGCTCTAGTGAAAAGGGGTACAAGTAAAAAAACCAAACTTACAAGGAGACGCGAAAAACAGTCAAAGCTTAATATCATATTAAGCGTTAAGTGTTTTTTGCGTAACCTTGAAAGTTTTTTTTAGTTTGTACCCCTTTTCACTAGATTAACAGGTTGCAGTCTGTACGTATGTAAGAAAGAAATGTACAGCAAATTGAATATAAGACAGATAGCAGTGGAAGAGAATACTCGTAAAATAAACCAATACACTGTAAAGGCACCTAGAAATTAGAATTTGTAGAAACGTTGCAGTAACACGGCAGCCGCGCGTCTGTAGCGCCTCATTCAGTTTTAGTTCACTAATTGTGACTGCAAAAGTTTCTACATATTATATGAAAATTAGTAGTGGCAGTGGTGCCACTACATCGTTTCTATAAGACTCTAATTTAAAAGCGCCCCAATATCAAAAACAGCTTTTAGCAGCAATAAGGATTTTATCTGTTTGTTATATAATATTATAATATTTTTAAATTAATTTAATTTTACTTATTTTCTGTCTCCACAAATCAATATTTTTCTTATTATACTTATGGTATTGGTGTATATAATTTTTGCATAATGTATAAATAAAATAGCGACAATTATTTTACTATGCCATTGGAAGGTTTGCTGGCACTTATAGCCCAGGTATTCCTTTTTTAAGTACCAGCGGTCATATATACTGATTCTTTGATACTTACTTACTGTACACTATGCATGTTGTATTATTATTACGGCAAATCCAAACTTATTATTAGTATTATATATTTCAAATTCATAAAATATACATTTAACTTACCACATTAGATATTAAAGATCTGTGTCTAAAAACGAATAAACTTCATTTTCCAAAAGATTCTTGTTGTTATGAAATTACAAAACTCTATAACTGGACTTGCAGTGTGTTTTTGGATTGGCACTACACAATAGAATAAACGAAATATACAGTTCGCATTTAATAATAATAATAAACCAGACAACGAAACCAATTAACTGGTTTAGAACTAGGGAATTCCCTTTATTATGAGTACTAGATCAATAGAATTCACCACCCAGACCAGAACCCAAGTTCAAATTGGTCTCAACAGGAATCGAACCCGGGATCGCCACATATAGCGCCCACATTACAAATCTTTGGACCAGTGAAGTCAGAAACTTTTCAACATTTCTATGTAAAAGCAATAAATATAACATAAATATAGTACATACGTAACGTTACTTACCGGATACAATGGAAATTATAACTAGTTTCCGCTTGAACGCAGGAGTAGAGTTGTGCAGTGCGGAAAGCCAAGGACTCGAGCACTGCACGGACTAAATGACTTTTGGTGGTAGTCGGTTTCATGCCTATGAATCCTGAAGCTGCTGATCCGTCGTTGTAGGGAGGCTATAGAATAGAATAGAATAGAATAGAATAGAATCGTTTATTTCATGTTATCAATGTCACAATATTACAATTGGAAATATAATGTCAAGGGATAACTATGATCGTCAGTAATAAAATTATAATAATAATAATGAATATAAAATAAAGTAGTATAACTACTGCTTGTCGAATAAAATAAAATTAAAATTGTTTCAAAAGAAACTCATCGACACTGTACAATTCAATATCCAATAAAAGGATTTTTAGTCGGGTACAAAACGTTGCATCGTTTCTAACACATATAATTAATTATATTATAAAAACATATTTAAATTGTTTGAAAAAAAAATCGTGGTAGGGGAATGGTTTGACCGACCGCAGAGCGCGTGGGTTCGAATCCAGGTTTGCAAATCTGAATTTTGCGAAATTCTAGAGCCTTTTCGGTAAAGAATAGTGAGGAAATGCCATCGAGAATATAAGCGGAAATAGAGACGAAATGTCATCATGTCATTTGTTTGAAAACTATTCTGCTATATCATTGCTGTGACAACTGCACTCCGATTGGCGAGCCCGAGTTCGAAACAATTGACGGGTGTCGTCAATGGGTGTCGTCAACAGTTTCACTTCGAATCGACTAGTTAACTTGAGCTTTGCTATAATGGACGAAACTTGCAAAATGACATATTTAATATTGAATTACCAATGAAATGTAATTCCGTTTGTTATGTAATTAGATGTTTTGCTGTTCCCACACCACCGAATAGAACAGCACGGCATCGTTAGACGTATTATCTTTATTACAATAAATACAGAATATTTTTTGGAATATACGGAGATGTACACACAGGTCAGTAGTTGGCCTGTCTCTGATTCAGTGCAAACGGGAGTTGATATTTATAAGAGCTGTATCGCTAATGTGTTACCAGGAATGTATGGCCCTTATTTCGTCTCTATTTCTGGTTATATACTCGATGGGAAATGCACACATTTATAAAGCAATTTAATAATGCGTGTGAAGTTCCCACAACCTGCTTCGCTTTTTATTTAATTCGTGCTTTAATACTACGTTATACTTTTAAATATTTGAACATTCCATGCAACATACCATCAAAGTGACTCAAGAAAACTGCCATACAACCAAGCACATTTTTTGGCGTTGTGCGTGTGTTTGTTAATTCAGTTTTAACAATGCATAATACACTCTTTAAAAAAAATTTTTGAACATATTTGTATAATTTACTTGCATTTAATGAGGAAAGCTATATATACATCTCGGCGGGAACGAGAATCGCCTGATATCGTCTAATAAATCGTATAATAAATAGTAATGTTCTAATTTTGTTGATATAAAACAAAATCATCTACACGAATTACATTGCTATTAACAATTAAAAGAAGAGGTACGTGTTATCATCGGAAATCCATTATGCTCTTTGATGGATCGATTTTTGATTATAATAGGTAATTGTTAAAAAACAAAATGTTCATCCATTTATCAGATAGGAGACATACCTTTATTAGCGATTGTGCCACCAGTAAGGATTTATAATACACTTTTTTTTAAACTGATAATTAGGAAGCAATATGAATCCTATCACATTATATAAAACACATGTTTAGTACTTATTCAAGTTACTTATAATCTTGAGAAGATAATTTAACAAATATTGCAAACTGAATAACGCGCGATAAAAATCAATTTAATTGACACATTTATCCATTATCCCGACGTATCGGCCTGATTGCACAGGTCATGGTCAAGGGTCTTCTTTAATTTTTTTATGATATCAAGTGACGGGACGAACAACTCGTGCGCCTGGTCGTAAGCGACACGCCTGTCCATAACAGTGGCAGTGCCACGCAAAGCTTTAAATCACAAATTTCTGAGGGGCACTGCCACTGCGCCCTTCACCTTGAGACATAACTTGACAAGTCACATATACCTGTAATTTCACCAGCACTCTTAACCCTTCGAAACCGGAACGCAGTAATGTTCACATTACCGCTTGGCGGCAGACTGTAATGTAGCATCCGTAAGGCTAGCACAACAGAGCGCGACTTGCGCGAGAGCGACATAAAGCGCGAGATACAGCTATTCTCGTATAGAGGTACAATTAAACTAATTTAATGATAATTACAAACAATATTATATTTACTATATTTTACAGCACATTTTCTTGTTGTTTCGTGAAAAAATACATTCAAATCATGTATGTATCACATATATATATATGTTCGCTAGCTGTATTTTGTGCTCGGTGTTATTTATTTTTAAACTAGGTACCTAAAATAGACTTCTTGTCAAAATAATTCTAAAAGAACTAAATGTCTTACCCCTAATCCACTAAAGGCCGGTATGAAATACACTCCATCTGAATCTGGTACGGACATTGCGAGATCCGCTGTGTCTTGGGGATTGTCGAAAAGATCTGAAATTCAGCAAAAAGTCAGTTGTTATAATGATCTTGGTAGCTCAACGGTTTGAATCTGAGGCCCCAGGTTCAATTCCCGATAGGACCGATTTGAAAAATAACTTTTCTAATTTGGTTTTGTTTTGGGTGTTCCGTGTAGAGTCAATTCCGTTCCTCTGGTATTAAGTTTATTTTATATAATTACATTAACAATCATACTTATAGATACTTTACTATCTTGGCACTCGCAAGGTTTGCTGGAATGTTGCAACTTCCATTATATTCTATTGTATATTTAACAAATAGTACATGGAATACAGGTAATAGTAGCCAAGTTGAGGCAACTGACACTGGTTCGAGTCCAGTCGAATCGAAGAAATTTTTCTTAGTATTTTCACAAAAAAAAGATGAGTGCCATAGTAGTAAAAACCTCATAATAT